GCACTGTAGCTCACAGACCCCAGCTCCTGTCCCAGACTGGCACTGCAGCTCACAGACCCCAGCTCCTGTCCCAGACTGGCACTGTAGCTCACAGAGACCCCAGCTCATATAAGTACTGATGGAGTTTGATGATCAAGGGTTATTCAGTGTCCAGGCCTGATACTCTGACACAGGCCTCTAGGGGCTGTAAGACATTCCAGACCTGCCAGGTGACCTAACTGGTTTTGCCTCTCAGGCGATCTGATGCACTTTATGGGCATTCCCTTCTGGAGACTCCGAGAGAGATGGGCATGGAATTCCTGTCTGGGATGAGCTGCGAACACCACACCTCCTCTCATCTCACACCACAGGTTCAGGCATTTTCCTGCTTTTCACTTTTAAGAGGGAGATGTCTTTATGTGTCTCCTAAAACAGTGACATTGAAACCTATCAGTTTCTGGTATTTCTGTTAATCTCTCAGTTACTGAGTTGGTAGTGACTGAAACTGACACGCATTCTCTTTAGTCCAATGAGATAACATTTTTGTGCTACATGTGCCATTGGTTTGTTCTCCACTCATGAGGAAAGAGCAGTTCAAGGAAACTCGGGGCCAAGACAGACAACCCCCCATGTGCTAGAGATAAGGTTAATCTGAAAATATATGGTGGAGCAGCAGGTGGTGCTCATACGTTGGGACCAGAATTTCAATTAGCGAAGCAATTTCTCACACCTGTGCAGGGGGCTGCTGAGTGTCTCAGTGTGGAGCAGCGCTTCAGTGGAGGATGAATGATGAGGTAGATATCTTCCTGTGCAGGAAAACTGCTGTACCATAGCAAGGACACATGATACAACCACTATGTTTGAATGCCTTTAAAATAACCTTTGGGCTGGGTTATGAAATAGCAAAAGCCATTTGTGTCAGTCACAGCAGGAGAGCAGAACGGATCAGATTTATAAAAACAGGTGCAATGGGGTAGAATAATGTATTGCAGTCGATACAGACTTTACAAGAAATGGATCAGAACAGTTTTTTATTTTTACATTTCACTTAAAAATAACCAAGCTACCGATTATTTTGTTGATCTATTGTTTGATTGCTTACAGTATTTTGTTGAAATGACCGCTCAGTTTAAAACATTATAATGTGTTAGATTGTATTACAAATACAGTAGACGCTCTTCTCTTCGATTGGACACTAAGAAACATTTACCTTTGACCTGTGAAGTCAGCCCGTGCCAGCTCCAAAGATGGCTGCGCACATAATGCTGCCCAAAGTAACAAGCATGATATCAAACATTAAATATTTGTGTGCACTGAAGAGTATTAGGAGGTCTTTAGGTTTGTCGTCCACAACAGGAACCACGGAATTCACGTCCAGGAGAGTTCGTAACATGTTTACGGAGTTTTTTAAAGAGCGATACGGCCACCGAGTGGTCCCATCCGCACCGGTCCGACCAAGAGGAGATCCCAGCCTCCTGTTTGTCAATGCGGGCATGAACCAGGTGAGACAGTCGTTTGTTTCAACTCCCCTACCCAAATCCCAAAACCCAAAACCCAAATACCCAAGTCTGATCTGCAAAAGCAGTCGTGTCTGTGTGAAAGCTGCGGGGATTTGTGCAAACAGTAAATCTAAACGCCACTGTAATATTTAAAGACACAGTCTTTATAACTGTGTCTTTACAGTTTAACTGCGGAAACAACTCTGTAGTTAACTACTCTGTAGTTAAAAAGATATAGAGTAATGTTTAAAAAGACTGGATCTGCTTGCTTTCAGTGTAGCGCTCTGTTCAGTGTTAGCTAGTGAAGTATTCATAGCAGCTTTGCTGTAGTGCTGTTGCACAGGGGTCTGTGTGCACAAGCCACCCTGATCATTTGGTCACTGGTTGCTTGTTGATCCCCAATTCTTGTCAAGCAGACACGGAGGGAGTAAGGGAGTAAGTAAGCAGTATTGTCCAGGTGCCCCATAGCTGCCTGTGTGGAGAATACATCTACAGACATTTTGAGCTGGTAAGAAATGAGTGACAGTTTGCTGCTACATTACAGAATCCAAGGATCTAGTTGAACTGTTACCTGTGGCACAGGAGCATCCAGGATGTGGTTTGGCACATTGACAGCTGGTTCCAGTCACTCCCCCTGTGTGTGTAAAGAGATGCCCTGTCTTCTGACTGCTGCCTCTGGGCCAGTGTTTGAGGAAACACCAGCTGCAGGTCGCCTTGGCTGCTGCCAGTAAGAAGTGCAGGTCTCCGCAGTGACGGCTCCCATCTTCTCCCCTCAGTTTAAGCCTGTCTTCCTGGGCACCGTGGACCCTCGTAGTGAGATGGCGCGGTACCGGCGCGTGGTGAACAGTCAGAAGTGTGTGCGTGCTGGCGGCAAACACAACGACCTGGAGGATGTGGGCAGAGATGTGTACCACCACACCTTCTTCGAGATGCTGGGGAACTGGTCCTTTGGAGACTACTTCAAGGTGAGCCCCAGATTTCCTGAGGGGCCCTCTGGACACCCGCCTTGTCTGTGGGAAGAGTGGGGTCTGTGGTGCTGCAGCTATTGTCCAGTGGTCCCGAAAGACACGCAAACATGCAAAATGAGTGGTGTGAAACACAACGTGAAAACAGGTTAAATTGTAATCACTCACCTGCGTGGACAGGTGTCACTCTGCTGCCATTGCCCAGGCGGTAATGGAGTGAACTCCACCCCTGGGAAGATGGTAACCTCAGGTTACTGAGTGTACTGTATGAGGAACAGTTCACAATATTGTATAAGACTAGTCTGTAAAGCCTGCAGTTTGGCACATTATCTGTTTGATTCTTTCAAACAGGTGGTGCTTTTAATGAGACTCTGGGGCTGGATAGCTGCTCTGATAAAGGTTAAACAAATCAAATGTCATTATTATTGGACACTCTACTTAGCTGGTATTCTTATGCCTGATATTGCTCTGATATTTGTCTGTAATGTACTAGCAAGTAGAGCCTTTTTTTCCCAACATGACACATTCTCAATGGAGAGTCTTGGATTTACCTCTTAGGAGCATAAGAAAGGTTACAGAAGAGAGGAGGCCTTCTGGTCCATCTGGTCTTTACAGCCAATTGCTCCGATGATCTCATCCGGCCCTTTTGTGATAGAAATGAGGGTATCGACTTCATCAACGGGCTAGACAGCTTGTTCTAGACTCCCTCAACCCTCTTGTTCAAAACCTCATGTCCTTTCACGAGAGATTCCAGCTGAGCTCAGACCCCAGCTGGGCGGTGGGTTCGTACCGCTGTGTGAGAAGGAGGGCTTGTGGGAACAGGCCGCGATCTAAGGCAAGAATGTGTGATGTCACCACCTGCAGGAGGAGGCCTGTGCCATGGCCTGGCAGCTTCTGACGGACGTCTATGGGATCCCCAAAGACCGTCTCTACATAACGCACTTTGGCGGAGACCCTGCTCTGCCCCTGGCTGCGGACCAGGAGACCCGAGAGATCTGGCTGGGATTGGGGTACGTGTCCCCTAGGCAGGCCTGTGCGATAATGCCCTCGGCAGCTCCTGAGTCCTCATAACTGCTCTATGCCCAATACGTGAGTGTGGGATCCCTGCATCTGACAGGCTTGTTCACCTACAGTACATGTCATTCACATGTGTGAGATACTGTTTGATAAACTGCTGAGTCTCCACTGAGGCATCTTCTCACTCTCTTGAAATCATGTTCATATTCATAGCTAGGAGTGGTTAACATGTTCAAGTGAGGGAATTAATTTAAGGTGATAGGAGGAAGAATATTTGTCTGTACATGTGTGTATAAAATTGTGAATTCTGCTTGTTTTAATTGTCCACAGTCAACCCAGATGAAAAGAGTCATTAACAAAAGACACCCAGCTGAGTTTGGATTAATTTACAGTAATTAGCTCTCTCCTGAGAGGAAGTAAATTTTGAACTCAATTAAATTTATTATATACAGTGAAAAACCAGGCAAAACCAAATACTTTCTGGTGTTAATTTTTTTATTCATTTGTACAAAACTGACTTTTTTATGGATTTAAATGCCACCAACTTTCACCTCCTGTGAAGTGTCTATCCTCTGTTTGATGAACTTAACAAGAGTGTAGTTAAGCACTGTGGGTCTGAAAGAAGTGTTTCTGGTTTAGAGTCCAGCCAGATCACATCCTCCCATTCGGGCTGAAGGACAATTTTTGGGAGATGGGGGAGACGGGACCCTG